TGTGGAATTTTCAAATAAAACCAGTTCATTCGCGCCAATAAAAATAATTCAAATTGCATACATATACATATATTAGTTCTTTACTGTACGGAGAAATTAATCTAAGATAAAAATGGGATAATTATATGGACTTACCTACTAAAGACGAGTTTAACAATAGGATTTTTCTTGCAGCAGAACAAAATGGTTTACCAAATAATAGGGCAGATTGAACAAATGAAAATCTTGTGCTATTAATTGGTGGACCTTTTGTCTAAAAACTTCGTGAGCTAACCTAATTATAGACAAGAACTGTGACGTCAAATTTGGATATCATTGGAAATTTGTGATATATTTGCTACGGGCTCTTTTTAAAGTCACGATTAAATAGCCCACATGAGTCATGTTTGGCTTTGATATGTATGGAACCATTTATGCCGTGCAGAAAGAAAGAATACTCCTTAGCTACAAGCCTGCATCTTTCAATACTCCTGCATAAGCTGCAAACGTATTAAAGGTGTTTAAAAAATTCAAAACAAAAAAAAACCAGTACTTTCGAACATTTCCGTCTGAACCTCTTTTTACCTAAAAATATTTTTGTTCGTTTCGCAGTTTATCATCAGCTCTGAGAATTCGAGGGATTAAGCGTTTTTGTCCATTAGAGCATCGAGCTAAGTGTTAATGGTGTCTCGGATTATATCGCTTAAGCTTTAGATAAGAGTCACTGGCGTCTGACTCATGCGTCCCCTTGAGTGATTGCTGTCGGCTACCTGATAACATCAGCCTTCCCAAATCCTTAGTTTTAATGTCCAGAATTCAACGAAGAATATTTGTGAAATTGAAATTTTATTTGTAGCCTAGAAATATTATTTCGGTTCATTGTTTGCTTTTCATTGTGCGCACAAGCAAACGCTTCTGTTTTTTTAACCTTAATTGATGTTTCTTACTTCTAGATGATTTAAAAAAAAACAGAAATTTATTCCTACTGTCGGTGTCTATACCACAGTGAATCTCGTCTCTTCTTCAACCCGTGCCCAATGCTGAGTGTAGGTCTCTTCGAATTCACCCCATTCTATTCGGTTTCTTGTGTTTCTCACTCAGTCTCTACCAATCACTTTGACCAGGTCATCGGTCCACCTCAGGGCTGTCTGCCCACGTTACGACGGCCACAGTACGAGGTCTCCACTCCAGTACTTTTGTGTCCCATCGATTGTTAGTGCAGCATATGTGGCCGGCCCACTTCCACTTTTTCCGAGCAATCACTTTGGCTATGTCAGTCAAACCAGTTCTACTGCGGATTTCGGTATTGCGCCATCTATCAGTATTCGTATACAGTGAATGCACTATTGTAAAAATATTTCATGATTACTTCATCTATTTCAAATGATATTTATCTTAACATTCATATATTCATGAACCCTAATTACAACGTCTGAATATTAAAAAAATGCAATCAAGATACCAACGAACTAGATACAAGTCGACTTGCCTATCACCCGGCTACTACCCAGAGTAGCGTGTAATGAGAAACCAGAATGTTAATTAAGATCTAATTAAGTCTAATACAATCAACAATGCTGCCCGCGTTTCGGAGGCATCCGCAAGTCATCACAAGGGCTTGCAAGACCGGTTTACCAAGACCCGTGACCTTCTAAGGAAGTATCCGAGCTGAGTTCATCGGCGCGGGTCTATTCCGGTGGTGAGTTTAATCGAATTGAGATCGGCCAACCCTTTAGTAAAAAATCGGTTAAAACCACTCGTTCCGAAGTCTATTGTGATGTGAGAACTCAATTTAATGTACATTGATGCAATGGACGTGAGATCACACGAAAGGGTAATAAAGATATCAGAATTTAGTGTGAAAGGGAATTGTCGTGTTGAGTATACAAATTGACTTGGACGGACCCTTAATGAATTATGAGGGAACGTAATTGAAACAAAATTTTATGTGGATATTTTGGGTTTTATATAAACGGTCTATACGGTTAAAATAAAATAAAACATTAGAAAAATTAGTCGATTCGCAATTTAGATTTTTCTCAAATTAGGATTTACTTGTCGCTAATCAAAACTAAAGCGACCACGTTTTCATTGCGTCGAAAGACAAGCTAACAACTCATCTGACGTAGATCACATCCTCCGCCCCACCCTACAACCTCCGTGGTCACGGACTACTACATAACACAATTTAGGACCTCTTGTGAGCCCGGATAGGTAACACCCCGCCTATTTCTGCCGTGAAGCAGTAATGCGTTTCGGTTTGAAGGGTGGGTCAGACGTTGTAACTATACTGAGACCTTAGAACTGATATCTCAAGGCGGGTTGCGGCATTTACGTTCTAGATGTCTATGGGCTCCAGTAATCACCACTAGATAGGCCGTGAGCTCATCCATCCGTATGTTATAAATATATATATAATAATACTAATAAATACAAGATCAAGCCGTCAAATTAGTTTTAATTAAGCGCAAACATGTTAGGCAAAAGTTGAATTTAATAATGATGAAAGTAATACTGTGTTTTATGATATGATTGGTTCGCGGCATAAATACGTTTGTGGGATGCACGCAGCGCGCCAAAGCAGTGCAGCCCACAATCCGTCTGATAGACAGGATTTAAGTGGTTTTTCAATAGGATAACAATTACATAAATCATTTGTAATTTATAGAGTAAAATTAGAGACAGTCAAAGTCTTATGACTAATGATTCAAGGGGTATTCAGGTTCTGATGTCTGTGAGCGCTGATAAATATTTAAAAACAATTGCGCCGTATTAACCTGCACCTATTAAAGCTTATATAAAAAAATCAGTTTCGAAACTTCTAGCAAGAAGCCTCATATGAAAAAAAAATTGGCTAAATTACTACTTGAAGTCGTTGTGGCCTAAAGGATAAGACGTCCGGTGCATTAATATCTAGCGATGCACCGGTGTTCGAATTCCGCAGGCGGGTACCAATTTCTCTAATGAAATACGTACCTACTTAATAAATGTTCACGGTTGACATCCACGGTGAAGAAATAACATCGTGTAATAAAAATGAAACCCGCAAAATTATAATTTGCGTAATTACTAGTGGTAGGACCTCTATTGAGTCTGCACGGGTAGGTACCACCTGTTCCACCACTCTACCTGTTCCTGCCGTAAAGCAGTAATGCGTTTCAGTTTGAAGGGTGAGGCAGCCGTTGTAACTATATTGAGACCTTAAAACTGATATCTCGAAGTGGGTAGCGCATTTACGTTGTAGATGTCTATGGCCTCCAGTAACCACTTAACACCAGGTGGGCTGTAAGCTCGTCCACCCATCTAAGTAATAAATAAAAGTTTTGGGTAAATTGATTTATCCGACTATTTATGTAATAATATTACACGCTATTCCACGCTAAATAGTAGTAATAATGGTAAACACACTATAATCTGGGCTTAAGATGAATGTGGTAATATATTAATATAAGACATAACAGTATAATATAATATAAATAATAACTAGCTGCTACTCGCGGCTTTGCTCATGTGGTCAAGGAAAAGTATGAGTGTAATTTCACGTGAGATTAAAATGTTTTTTTTCGGTATAAAAGATAGCCTATATCAGTCTTCTGATTTGGCGCCATCACTTTTATAAATATCATGTTAGTGCGTTGCTTCGTTTTGACGTTAAAGAAAGACAAACAAACACACTTTATATAATATTACATACTATGTATGATAGTTAAACAATGTAATCTTGTGCCTAAGTTAATTCCGTTTTGCAGATTAATTAATTCTTGCCAAGTAGGTACTCTTAGACAGAGGAATGATTTTCAAAACTCTACAGTTTCATAATCTTACATTGATCGTACTCTATTAAAAAAAAATCGATTTCAAATCTTTTTTTTTTTTCAAATATATCATTAATTTTACTAACAACACTCAACAAATTATTTTCTAGAAACGAAAATTAATCACAAAAACAGCTGTCGATGCCGACCGACGCGCGACTTAAAAAAATTATTGAATCTATAAAAAAAAAAAAACCTAAATGCAAATAAGACAATAAAACCGCTTTAATATAATTTAAAAAAAAAATCATCTTATTTACAACGTACGTCGGTGATAAACATGAAAAAGAACATGTGCGTTCACGCTTAAAACCATCAAGAAACGATATATGTCCATCTAAAATCGTATAAAGCGAAGATCAATAACATTCATACGCTATTGTTATCCGTCTAACGCTCATAGAGGCAAAGATATGGGTTGTAACATTCAAAATTTACTATAATAAAAGTTGTAAACAAAATTAACAACACAAGGAACCCCGCAGTTTTCAATTTTGAGCCTGACATCGCCCCTAATTCAATAAAGCTATAAAGTTCACCTAATTATGCAAATGCCTTTTGAAATATCAGGTATTAAGGCTTTTTTTTCGACTCCCAAAAAATATGATGGGAGCCCGTCAAAATAAGACCGTTTTCGGAGTTGATTAATGGATTTTGTACCTCGGTTCATTAAAATAATGACATTATTTTAATAGTTAATTGTTGTGAATAATTAGGGTGTCGGCAGGAGGCATCGCGTTCGGTAATTTATTTAAAAATTCAAGCTCATCAACTTGTAGATGAGCTGTTTATTCGTTTTTGTGGGCGAACACGAGAGAATAGTTTATTTAACTCACTCTTAATAACAATTAAAGTTTATACTAGCATTTAATTTGTAGTCACTTTTTGTCTGAGACATTTAGGCCTAAGCGTAGTTAGTAAAAATTATTACACTTAATTAAGAATTATGTATAATCGATACAATCGTGGACTGTAATGTTTGTTACTCGCAATCAAACCAGACCAAATCAAATTTGTTATTTTAATCATAAAAATATAATTAATCAAAATAAAAACTAAAGTATTTAAATTAAATTTTAAATAAACAAATTTAAAACTCAAAAGTCAATTTTGAAAATAAAATTCGCCATTTTTAATTAACACTCAATCAGGAAAATTTAATTAAACGTTAAACCATACCGTAATGTTAATTGAAAACGAACTTACCTCGCACAATTCACAACGAAAAAAACACCGAATATAAAACTCAACTCAACAAACACGAGACGAAAGTTAGTGAGCACGTGAATAAATTGTCGTCAAATAATGACCACAATTTACACGGTACCCCGTGACGATCCGTAATGCAACAACGTAATAAAATACAACACACCGACGCCTCCAAACGGCTGATAGAGAATAAAGCTGGAGCCGTGAGCGATCGCCTACGCAACGCTACGAAGCATATGCCAAAAAAAACCAACCGGGCACAGACCACACCTCCGAGGAGGGCCGGCCAATAGCGCCGCACCGATATGGCGCTCGGCACGAGGGTGGGCCTAAATCAGAGACACGGGCTCCTACTTCGATACCGCTAATTGTCTTTATCAACAAGCCGATTTTACTGGCCCGAGTCACGATATATGCGTTTGTCTGTCGTGTCAAAAGCCTAACTGTCGACTGCGGCTGCTTCAATTAAGTACGCTAAAAGCTTATAGAGTTTATTTTCATAATTTAATTTTAATTGAAGCGCTTTAATTTCCTTTTTTTTTCTTTTTTCCCCTACCTATGCTGATAGCCTTGAGAGGCTATTTCAGCTTCGCCCTAACGTGTAGGTGAGCTCTCGGGGCTCAAACCAGAGTGCTGCTAATACTGGCCCTAGCAAGAGCAGTGCTTCGCAGAATCTACCACCGGATCGGAAACGTGACCCACTGAGAAGATCAGGCGAGAAACTCAATGGGCAAATTTCCTATTTCGTTCGTATTATAAAAAGATGGTAACATTTTTTTGTATGAAGCAGTAGAAGTGAAGTATCGACGGGTGAAAGACTATTTGGATTAAGCGACATTTTTGCAGCTTTACCGGAGAGCCATTAAAGTTTGAAACTAGAAAAAAATATCATAACAAAAAAAAACTTCTTCAGCTATTTGAATGAGGTAAACATAATTAAAGTTCAATTAAAAACATCTACGTTGATGCTTATACTATATAAAACAGACATTTAATTATGTACAAAGATAAATATAATCGCATATTAAGCCTTATGTCAATTAAAACAAATATCCTTTCACCTCTCGATATAGTTTTCCATTTCATTAATTGTTGTTGACTTTAAAAGAATTAAGGAATTACATTAAAATATTAGATCACTACTCTATCAACCGTACAAGCCGCAACATTAACATAGTTTCTGCAATTTAATAACAATATTGTATGTTTAATAGTTAACATCACCTTACAATATTCGTTGTACTTGACCAGAAATTTAATTTCTAAGTTACATCTCCTATCTCCGTTGTCATGGCGAGATAAAATTCGTCTAAAATATATTGTAAGTCTAATACTAAGCTTTTAAGCTCAAATTTGTAAGAAAATGTTCTAGTGACAAGACAGTTAATATATTATTTAGTACTATTAAGATTGTAAAAACAGAATTGATTCTAATTAGTGCGTGTTCCATCATAGGGTACTGAGATTTGGATACTAAGATTTGATACGGTGTTGGATTTTAATCTATACTAATATTATAAAGAGGAAAGATTTGTTTGTTTGTTTGTTTCGAATAGGCTCCGAAACTACTGGACCGATTTGAAAAATTCTTTTTCCATTTGAAGCCGACATTGTCCCTGATGAACATAGGCTACTTTTTTTAATTTTTATTTTATTTTATTTTTTTGGTTTCATGTGTGTTTTAATGTTTCCGAAGCGAAGCGAGGGCGGGTCGCTAGTTAATATATAAATTGATAATAAAAATGCGGTTCTTCGTGTAATTCGAAAAAACATCCTAACATAGACCCACAAAAAAAAATGGTATCCTTAATTTGCAGTTAGAAATATCTATACAATTCCGATGACTTTCGAAAAGTTCTTCATGATCTTGACTTTAGTTATATACAACTTAAACTTATCGATTGTAGTCGGACGATCTCGATACGTTCCTATTAATCAAAAAATTCTGCCTTGAGAATATTAGATAAAATTACATTACACATTCGTAGGTAAAAATAATTTATTTCAATAATAATCTTGGAATATAATTATTAGTTGTATAATGAAATTGCTACAAGTTCCGAAAAGAACCACTATTACATAAATAACGATAGAAACCAACTTAGAACTGTACTTTTTATTTCAAATTTTTGTCTTTGATGTCGTCAAAATAACCTACCTCTAGTTTTTTTATTTTTTTTATTACTTAGATGGACGGACTAGCTCACAGCCCACCTAGTGTTAAGTGGTTACTGGAGCCCATAGACATCTACGACGTAAATGTAACACATATCTTGAGATATCAGTTCTAAGGTCTCAAGTATAGTTACAACGGCTGCCCCACCCTTCAAACCGAAACGCATTACTGCTTCACGGCAGAAAAGTCACAAGAAGCAAACATGTATTTCGGCTCAAAGGATATGATAGCTACTATATCAAGGCAGATGAAATTTAAATCCCATATCATAAAGCAGCGAAATTGAGTTTCCTATCAGCTTCGATAATCACCCAACCCCGACCAGTTTGGTCATGGCTTTGCCTTTTTACCTAGAAAGCAATAATCTCTTTCTTTACTAATTTTTAAATTTATAACTACAACATTAACAATAGTAATATAATAATATCTAAGTATGTACTATGAGTTGAAAGTTAATTTAGCTAAATAATTATTAAAACTAGCTGACCCGGCAGACTTCGTAGTGCCTCAATCGATAAATAAAAAACCTAAACTTTTGTATAAAATAAACTTAAAACAAACAAAAGAAATCCGTCCGATGTCCCCACACATCAAAGGAAAAACAAAATTGTTATTTTAATTTAAGTCCGAGCGTTTTCATATTTATCTACCGTTTAAACCTTCTTTGGACTTCCACAAATAATTCAAGACCAAAATTAACCTAATCGGTCCAGCCGTTCTCGAGTTTTAGCGAGACTAACGAACAGCAATTCATTTTTATATATATAGGTATAGATTAGAAACTTTACCTAGTGCATGTTTCTCTTGTAATAAATAATTTATAGACGAACATTAGGGCCTCAATTAAATGCTATGAAACGTTGCGAGCTTAGCCCTCGAGGTAGCGTTTATTTGTGAATCGTCGGTATCTTCCCTCTAATTGCACCTAAGGCTATAAACCGATCTAGACTCTTAAACCGCCTGCAACTTAGTTAGCGGCATAGCTTTGTAAGACATATTAATACTCAGGGGATTATAAATTTTATGTGATTCCAATTACGATATTATAATCTTAAACGTGTTCTCAACTGACAGTGAAAGATAACTTGTTATTTTTTTCCATAATTCCCATTAATTTTACCACAATTCTATTTTTCAGATTTCATTCGTGACTATTATAAAATAATGGAGTAAAACTAAATGGATTGAATTTCTACTTTAATATTTTTTAGGTTAAAAATTAAGAAAACTCAAATTTAATAAACCGTTTTCTGTGCTGTTTGTTGATAGCCATAATCCAAACATAAAACATACAATTATTATTTTATCCTCGAAACCTTGTACTTTTCAAGGAAATCCAAACAAGCATATTGGTATTTAAGTAATCCCATAATAACCTTTCGCGTTACCGTATCCTGAAAATAAGTCCTTAACTTTTTTTAAGTACCTCTTATTTGTTGCTCTTTTCTAATCCCTCAATTAAGCACGTTTAAAAAATGAACTTGGACCACCCTTACAGAAAAATAAATGTTATTTCCCAGACACCAACAAACATTCTAAAATCCTGTAGGTTTTTTCTAGCATACATTTACAATAGCTTTATAAACCCTATTACTTAAGGGATTCTTATCACGATTGTTTGATCTTGAAGAGTTCTCGATATTTTCTCGATTATCTCGAATTTTCAGTAATAAAAAAACCGTCAAAATCTTCAAAAAATATAACAAATAAATTAAAAAAATTCTGAGTACAATAACAAAGAACTAAAACGCAACGCAACGATCCGCCATTACCGAAACAATTAACTCTCACGGGCCCAATGTATCATAATTAAGACCATTAAAACAACATTTGGCGCAGAATTCTAAATTACAATAGTATAATGATACAAAATATGTTTACGGATTGTTGTTCTAAACACAAAAACGTTTACAAAGTAATTTCGTAAGAACACACAAAAGAAAATTACCATGTAAAGAAAGGCAGCTCATAAATAATCCAAGCCGTGATTTTTAATGCGAATTTGACTGAATAATTGCGTCCCAACTACTTAGAAAAGTTGGCAAATACTTTTTCCTTTCCTTCTATAATACACCTATCGCATATTTATCAAATATATGTTGTGGATGATAGATGCTATTGAATGATGATATGCTGATATGATAAGCTGAATCATGATATGCTGGAATCATAATGCATTTGAAGCAAAGACTTCAAGTTGACTGACTCGGTGGTGCAGTAGTACCTCTGACTGTTGTGACATGGCCGTGGGTTCGATTCCCATATCAGGTTTTTTTTTTTTTTAATTGCTTAGATGGGCGGACGAGCTCATAGATAGCCACAACGTAAATGCGCCACCCACCTTGAGATACAAGTTCTAAGGTCTCAAGTATAGTTACAAGGGCTGCCCCACCCTTCAAACCGAAACGCATTACTGCTTCACGGCAGAAATAGGCAGGGTGGTGGCACCCACCCGCGCGGAGTCACAACAGGTCCTACCACCAGTAAAGTGTGATGAAAAATTGTTTTTATGGTCTGGGTGCTTATGATCTATATATCTATTTATTTAAAAAACGTAAATGACCATCTATGTCAGTCTCTAGTACCTGTAAGACAGGGAATCCTAAATTAGAACCGGACGACCGTGTGTGATTTGTTCTCGGTTATTTATTATCATTCATTAAATTCAACGCGTGATTCATAATGTTTATGTGGTTCAGTGACCATTCAACATCAGAAGCCGTTTGCTCGGTTATTGGTCTAGAAAACAAAAAAAGCAGTGGAACGTGCTGAATAAACCTTGTAAGTGGAGAAATTTGATTAGACATCCCAGGGCGGTGAATTCAAAGCGCATGAACATCGCATTGATATGCCAAAACAGCTTAATCATAATATTACCCAAAAATCAACAATACTACCGAATAATGTTGCTTGAATTAAATATGGACATCGAATAAGTCGAACGGAGCCAACCATATTAACTTTTTTTACTTATGTGACAGGATCTT